GTGTCAAAATGCGGCCCGTGGGCCAGATCAGGCCCCCGGAGGGCTCCTATCAGGCCCGCAGTGGAACTGGCTGTCTTTTGCTTCTTCTTCCAGTTCTGCTGCTGCTGCGTCATCGTAGGTTTGCAGCATACAGATGCACACCTGAACCAGCATACTCAAGATTGCAACAGCACAGACATTTTGATGCAATAGTTCTGAGCAAGAGGTGTCAGTTCTCAGACACTGTTAAATAAACAAAATATTGCAAGAGTGCTGATGTTTTAAGCATGTTTTTATTTTAAGTTAAAAAAACCCTTTATGTTTGTGTCCTTTATAACATTTATACCCTGTTTCCCCTACCCCAAAAATAAGCCCTAGCAGGATTTCTATGCATTTGTGGTATAAGCCGTAGTGTGTCTTCTTGAGAAAAAATAAATATGACAGTGTCTTATTTTCGGGGAAACACGGTATCTCCGCTCCCTGGCATTACATTTTATGACACACATGGCCTGGTCCAACAAGGTCTCATTTATGTCAGATTCGGCCCACATAACAAATGAGTTCGACACCCCTGCCCTAGACAGAGTGTTAAAATGGAGATAGGACTAAAGGGCCCATGTTGCAGGGTTGTTGTTGTAATCATGGATGGGAGGGAGTTGGAAGAAGGAGGAGGAGAAGGAGATTGGATGTATACCCCACCCTTTGCTACCAAAAGTAGTCTCAGATTGGCTTACAATTTCCTTCCCTTCGGCTCCCCACAACAGACACCCTGTGAGGTAGGTGGGGCGGAGAGAACTCTTTCGAGAACAGCTCTGAGAGAACTTGTAACTGACCCAAGGTCACTCCAGCTGGATGCACGTGGAGAAGTGGGGAATCCAACCCGGTTCTCCCAGATTAGAGTCTGGGCTCCTAACCACTACACCAAACTGCCTCCTGAATAAAAAAAAATGCAATGTAAAGGCAAGGGGGTTCAGAGAGGCCCGGCATGTTGGACTGGCTGCAGAATTCACCTTCTCAGCGTCCTTAGGCTTTCATTGAAGAACGCCTCTTGCAAGCTCTCCAGGTTGCTTGCCGATTTATCGATTCAGCTATTTCATTTATTACCCCCCTGACATCAGGGCCGGCTCACCCGCTAGGCGAA